GAAGAAGAAGAAGAAGAAGAAGAAGAAGAAGAAGAAGAAGAAGAAGAAGAAGAGGAAGAAGAGGAAGAGGAAGAAGAAAAGGAAGAGGAAGAAGAGGAAGAAGAGGAAGAAGAAGAAGAAGAGGAAGAAGAAGAAGAAGAGGAAGAAGAAGAAGAAGAGGAAGAAGAAGAAGAAGAAGAAGAAGAAGAAGAAGAAGAAGAAGAAGAAGAAGAAGAAGAAGAAGAAGAAGAAGAAGAGGAAGAAGAGGAAGAGGAAGAAGAAAAGGAAGAGGAAGAAGAGGAAGAAGAGGAAGAAGAAGAAGAAGAGGAAGAAGAAGAAGAAGAGGAAGAAGAAGAAGAAGAGGAAGAAGAGAAGAAGAGGAATAGGAAGAAGAAAAGGAAGAGGAAGAAGAAAAGGAAGAAGAGGAGGAAGAAGAAGAAGAAGAAGAAGAAGAAGAAGAAGAAGAAGAAGAAGAAGAAGAAAAGAAGAAGAAGAAGAAAAAGAAAAAAAGAAGGAGAAGGAGAAGGAGAACAGCAGCAACAATAATAATAATAATTGCAAGATGAAAACAAAAACGACCATACTTATCCATACTGAGGACATGAGTAATGCACGTGTAATGTGCTCGCAAACTGGGAGTGTATGCTTTCAATTAGTCGTGAATCAGCGGCCAGGTATTTGGGTCCTTGTCTTGCTAAGAAATGATATAGAAACATAATAATATGTTAAGGGTAACTTAAGGGGCGCTGGTACATACTCTATAAAAAGGGACGAAATGAATAAGATGGACTTCCTCAAGCATTATGATAATATATTACCCAAATTAATAATTATGTATTCTTAGTCTGATATACCATCTAGTTTTTCCTTCAATTGTATCGTCTCATATTAAAGTTGACAGAAATGTTTGCCTCTTAGATAATCATTTCCAAATATCAAATAAAAGCTTTGGATGGTTTCTATAACATGTTATCCTTTTTATCCCAAATAATCACCATCTCCGTCAACACAAATGCACCAGTGAGCAAAAAGTCTAAACTGCGTTAGTGAACAATTCAAAATGTCTTCCTTTGTACTTTGCCCTACCAATGCACCAGGGTTGCCGGATCAGTTCCAGGTTTCTCGTCGAATTGATGTGAAAAGTATGCCAAACCTTGCATAATACTGCCAACTCCGTAACGGACGCATTTTTTTGCGTTTTACGTAAGGTAAAAGTCAACCTTTATTGACCGCAAAATAATTTGCTAATAGACGTTCAGGGACTTGCATATTGCAGGTGATAGGAAGAATAAAACAAAAGTAAAGAAACCTGAAAAAACGAAAGCAAAAACAGACAGCCTAGCGACCAAAATGCCTAGAGACTTTTCCCTGGTCAAATGAATCAATATGATTTTTGGCGGGGAATCTGCCACATTGACAACTCTCCTTCGCTTATCAGTTTCTGTTTCTTCATCTTTCTTGAACTGAATTCAAACGGTTTTTCTTTGTATCGCCTACGCACATCAACTTCTATTTCTGCATAGTCTCTATATTAAAATCTCCTCAAGTGGTCTCCAGCGTATCGTCACTGTGGATTAACCCTGGGTTCATCATTATGGCTCAGAAGACATGTGACGTCCGTAGAATTCAGACATAAGAACTCGACAAGTCGCAAAAATTTATGAGAAAGAGATCTTGACCTTGTTTTTAGATAATGGTAAATAATGAAAAGATAACATAATTTATATAGAGCAAATTCTCGTTCAACAGCAAGCTCCATGCGTTTTATACAATCTATTGCTACCCCAGTAGACATGATAGCATTCTGAAACAATATCAAACTTATGGTAACTACATTTATTTTGTAATGACATTTTTACATTGAAAGCAAAGACAGAAAGACTTCATTAAACAAGGTGGCTGCCTCAATGACAGGAGTACTCAAAATACAGAAGTCCCTTATCGTTGGCAAACTGTTTAGATGTTCGAAGCCCAAAAAGCAACATTTTGTTTAGGACAGATAGAAAAAAACGTGTTTCATTCTTTTAACAATTGTACCTTTATTAAGTATCTTCTATTGCTTTTTTCAACATTTAGAATTTAAATTTCGACAAAATATTTCTGGTGCACATGCAGCCGAAACAACAAATTAAGAAATTGCTCCCAAAATTCAGAATTTGGGCATATACGTATTTACATTTGGCCAACAAATTGTAAAATCTTGTTAATATACCAGTCTTCTCAAACTGTAGTTGTAGAATGACAAGAGATTTACAGACAGACACACAAAAAACCCCCAATGGTGAATAATATTTCTCTTTACTTCCATACTTTTCACAGGCTTCACAGACATTTGGAAGTCGTAGCCATCAACGCCTGAAGAAAACTTCATACCCGCTTCTAACAGAAAGTCTCGAAACTACTAAAATACATTGTCTTATACCAAAGCACCACTGCTTGGAAAAGACTAATACAATACATGAACCTGATAAAAAATATACATAGGACATTCATTAAGGAAAGTGGTGTAACGTTTGCAAAAAACGGCCTGGCAGTTAACGAGAGCTAAAAAAACCCGACAACAACGGTGTGGGAGAACAACGCGACGGAACTCAGGGGAATTATAATTTAGGGTAGGACTTGATGCAACACCCTTATATACCTGGAGAAAATTTCGCAACAATTATATGTATAAACAAAAGCTTTAGCAGTTCTTATCCTGTGTCTTATAAAGAGAACATTTTACGCCGACAATATTATACACAATAATTATTTTAAAATTACGGAAGAGATTTTACACTAGTAACATAATATACGCGCATACTGCAGCACCTTTTGTCCCGTTTCCCAAAACGGCAAACGAAAGAAGATCTCAACACAGGGAAACAAACCACAAGCCCACCGCTCAGTGTAAGGTCAAGAAGACAACACACAGCAGCAGCATGGCCCCTGTTGGACGAGATCACATGACCACCATCATTCTCCTAGCAACATTTGTTGTGGCCGCTTCCGGTGAGTAAATCTTTTAGGTTTGGTTGTAGTAAGAGTTTGCACAGCACTTGCAGCACACATGGGTCAGATTAGTGCCGAGGTGAGTAGATTACGTTATAAGGTTAGACCATCTAGTGGATAATGAGCTACTCATTGATTTCATTTCTTGCCTTTTCATCCCCTTCTCCTCTCATCATCATCATCATCATCATCATCATCATCATCATCATCATCATCATCATCATCGTTATTGTTAGTGCTATCACTACTACTACTACTACTACTACTACTACTACTACTACTACTACTACTACTACTACGACTACTACTACTACTACTACTGCTCCCCAGCTCAAGCGGTCCTTGACTTTGACTGTCGCCGGCAGGGGGCGCAGTGCGACGATGGCGCAAAGTGCGACGTGACACAGGGAGACTGTGACTGTGCCACGGCCACAACTGGTACCATAACAACACGGGACTACAAATGCGGTGACAACTCAGGTGAGGCAAGAAGATATTAAAAGTTCAAAACTGAGTGTCAGAGTGTGTCTCCTTTTCCGTTCCAAAATCAGTCAATTAAGAGGATTCAATTCCCGTCTCCTTATGCACGTCGCGACGTCTAGCCTGACGTGACCGTCTCCAGCGATAGGTCCATGTAGCGACATAGCGACATCTTTTTCATATTTTGCCCCACTTGTTTGGAATAGGCTTCCAAAGACTATCAGAGAAGCAGAAAATCTAGAAATTTTCAAAAAGAAACTAAAAGCATTTATATTTTTATCATATTTCGATTAGACAGAATCCATAAAAGCTGTAGATCGTTGTGAGTTTGTATGTGCGTATGTACGTAAGTGTGTATGTATGTGTGTATGTGTGTGTATGGTGCGTGCGAGCGTGGATATGTGTGTGCAAGCGTATGTTACACTATGTGCCTTTAAAATTGACTTGTAAATCCATAATAATATGTATCATGTTAAACGCATAGAGCATTGCATAAGTGGATATGCGCTATATAAATGCATTCCATTATTATTATAGGGCCTCGCCGCCCGCGACAGTCTGGGGGTGGGGGGTGGGGACCTTTTAAAGCATCAACACAGGTCAAAGTACCTAGCCAAGGAGTGTGTGTGATGTGTGATGTGGTCACGCAGAACGATACACACATCGCGACTAATCACTAGTGACTACCGGGCGCAACGCGACGTCTCGTCGGGCCTAAGGAGACGTAGTCTTAAGCCTATTTTAAAGACGAGTAAGATTGTAATCAAGCTGATGCAGAAAGATACGATCTGTTCAAAAGTGAGTTTTAGGCCCTTTTAAGACAACTTCTAGTGAGATTATAACCAAGGTGAAGCAGTAAAGTATCATTAGTTCAAAATGAGATTAACTATCTTTCTAGGACATAATGTGTAAGCCTATATCCTAAAAAGCCGGGCCATGATGCTGACTTAGGTCACATTGAAAGTTGATAAGTTAAAGTGTAGATTAGAACCTTTTAAAACCCCTACTTGTGTTTATAAAGAGGAAATTCGGAGATATTCGAACCACGGCTGATTTTATAGGCAATTTTGTCAGCAACTAAACACAGATTCACATATTATTATTATTATATTATTGCAAAGTTGTGTCCGCTCTAACCACGGCCATTTTGCCATAAACAAGATGAGGCGAAGCGGGGCGAAGTTGGGCGAGGGGGGGTGAGATGAAACTGAAGACTTGAAGAAATAAGACTGAATCTTAGCAGATAGAAATAGAAGACATCATCATCATCATCATCATCATCATCATCATCATCATCATCATCATCATCATCATCATCATCATCATCATCATCATCACACCAATGCAGAGATAAGTACCAGCACCTGGAAGATGTGTATTCTGGGTACTCCTATAGGCGGGAACAAAATATCATCATCATCATCAACGACGACGACGCAACAACAACAACAACAACAACAACAACAATAGCAACAGCAGCAACAACAACAAAAACAACAACAACAGCAACAACACCAACACCAACACCACTACCACCACCACCACCAACAACAACAACGCAGTATGTCTTCATTTTTAGAGTCTGGCACCTGCACAGCACTGTGCGAAAACAGCGGAGTCTGCGTCCTATCTATGTGTAACTGCCCCGAGAGTTACTATGGAGACAGGTGTCAGATGAACAGAGGTATAGGCTCCCATCGGTCTGTTTGTTTGCTTATTCGTCTTGACTGACTGTTCCTACTCAACCCCTGCCCGTTCTCTCACTCCCTCTCTCTTTCTGTGTTTCTCTCTTTCTCCCTCTCTTTCTTTCCCATCTCTCTCCCCAACTCCCTCTCCCTTTCTCTCTATTATTGCTCTCCCTTTCTCTCTATCACTCCTTGTCTTTCTCTTCCCTTCTCTCTTCACCTCTACCCACCTATCTCTATGCCTCTCTCCCTCTTGCCCCCCTCACTCTCTATCTCTCCCTCGTCTCTCTCTCTCTCTCTCTATCTCTCTCTCTCATTCTCTCTCTTTTTCTATACATCTCTATTTCTCTCGCTCCCTCTCCTTCTCGTCCCCTCTCTATGTCCCTCTCTCTATATCTTTATGTGTCTCTCTGCCCCCCCCCCTCTCTCTCCCAGCCCCACAAAAATGCATATTATGAATCTACCGTCCTGCCTGTTATAATTATTTAGCCATCAGTCCATCTTCCCGTATCTATACAATGGTCCTTCCGGAGTCTGTCTGTCTGTCTGTCTGTCTGTCTGTCTGTCTGTCTGTCTGTCTGTCTGTCTGTCTGTCTGTCTGTCTGTCTGTCTGTCTGTATGTATGTATGTATGTATGTATGTATGTATGTATGTATGTATGTATGTATGTATGTATGTATGTATGTATGTATGTATGTATGTAAGTATGTATGTATGTATGTATGTATGTATTTATGTATGTATGTATGTATGTATGTATGTATGTATGTATGTATGTATGTATGTCTGTCTGTATGTATGTATGTATGTACGTATGTTTCCATCTACAGTGCAGGTAGATTGCGACGGATCAAGCATGTTTCTCAACGTGAACCCGGATGTTAATACCTTCTCTGGTACAATCTTTGTTGTCGGCCAGGAAACCACGCCCGGCTGTAATCTGACTGCAGGAACTGTACGTTTATTTTTTGTCTCCCTTTTGTCCCCCTTTCTTTGTAATGAAATTGTTAATTGGATGTGGGTGCTTGGCGAATGCTCTGGTGTGGTTTGCTCCTTCGATTCTATTATTAAACATCTTCCATCGTGATCTGGTCTCCTAATTTTTTAACTTTCGACATTTACATTATGACATATTTTTTTTTTGCAAGTGCCGTAAAAAGTAGTTTATTGAAACTAACACTATCAGCGCCTATGAATATGGCAGTTTGCACTTTATGCTTCCCAGGAATTTGAGAATATTTCAGGATGCTATCAGGTTTGCTGGCGTTGTTGTTTAGCGGGAATTTGTGCTATACATATTGCAACTGTCTATAATAATAATAATAATAATAATAATAATAATAATAATAATAATAATAATAATAATAATAATAACAATAATAATAATAATAATAATAATAATAATAATAATAATAATAATAATAATAATAATAAGCTTAAAAAATAATAATACGTTTAAAAATAATCACGATAAAAAAATAAATAATAATAATTTTCAAATGTTGCTGTTACTGCTGCGTTTTGTGACCAATTTGTTTCTTCTGTTGCTTCTGTTGTCACAGTTGGTTGATGTAGCTGACATTGTTAACTTATTGTAGACGCTCATTCTTATTATTTGACCGTGCTTTACATTTTTGGGGCTATTTAGGAATTTAAAAAGAAGGAACAACTTTGTTATTCCAGTAGGTTTTAAGTCTGTTTTGTTTATTTGAAACTTTTAAAGCAATTACGTAAAAGTGCCGACTGTTATCTGATTTGTGTAACTTGGTTTGAAACGTGCGCATCATTGCCTTTGGTTTACTTACTATAGCTGATCGGACATAATGATAAAATTAACTGAAGGTGATGCTACCTGGTTTGTTGTGCTTGAGTCATTACTTATCACTCTTTGCTTTTGACCTATGTACATGGCAAAGGTGCCTGTTTTACTGTTATTATCAAAGTTGTTGTGGCTGTTGTTGTTGTCGTTGTTGTTGTTGTTGTTGTAGTTGTAGTTGTTGTTGTTGTGGTTTTGGTTATTACTGTTATTGTTTTTATAGTTGCAATTGTTATCATTGTTGTTATTGTCTTCCTCGTCGTTGTGGTCGTCGTTGTTATTATTGTTACGGTTAATATTGTTATTGTTGTTGTCGTCGTCGGCGTCTTTGTTGTTTTTGTTTCTGTTGTTGATGTGGTTATTGCTGTTTTTGGTTGTAGTGGTGTTTTCGTTGCTGTCATATTAATTTTCATGATCCTGGCAGAAATGATTTTGCCTAGACTTTCGATAACAAATATTAGCACAAACGTGTGTGTCAAAAGCTCCTTTGAACGATTGAAAAAGGACACACACCGCCATAAGACATGAATCAATATTTCCAACCTCATTAACACACCAGGAGGAGCTGTTCGGGCTAATAGAGAAAGAACCGAACAGGACACCCACTACAGTCGATCCTCAAGAAAAATGCGATTGAGAAGAAGAAGATTTTGAAATGCCACCTTAACCATGTTTTTGAAGATGAGAAAAAAAACACTAAATATTTCCCATAGTTACTAAC